GTGGGAGAGCAATGCCATGGGTAAATCCGTGACATGAAATGTAAAATACTGATGGGAACAATGTGGATTGTTGGAAAGCAGTGGATCACCAGCGTGAATAGAACCAAGTGCATGATCAAATTAGTCCTGATACATTTCAAGCTCAGACTGAGCTTCCTGGGGTGAGCAGTTCTTGAGATGAAGGTGCTTTTTTGTGATAATTGGTGGCTTTGATTCCAATTTTGCTGTGTGGGCTGGATGGGCTGTTTTGGAGGAATTGATGCAAAGTGTCTTTTACATCAAAGAAAGTTTATTTTCCGTGATCTCTGCCCAGAATAGGAATTCCCTGTGTCCTTCAGGAGACTCAGTGACCTGGGGGTGGTTTCTGAGGACACTCTGTGGTCACTTTGTGCTCCATGAAATGAGACCTGCAGAGTTCAGGTATTAATCAAGAAGCTGCAGGATGTTAAAACCAGTGAAACCAGTAACCTGCTGTTAGTATCCCTTTGTGCTGGGGAAGTGGGAGCAGTGGAGGAGCCTCCTGGATTTTTAGGGAAGGAGGGATCCCAGGATTCCTGGTGGGACAGGGAGCAGCGAGGCCACACCGGGGGCACTGTCCCACCCCAAGTGCCTTTGGACCTTCCCGTCCCAGTGCCATGGAAAACCACCTGGAACCATCAGGGAGACAAAGCCTCTTCCAGAGACTCCCCAGGGAAGATCTGGTGAGCTTCCATTTAATTCCTCCCCCTGGCTCAGTCCTGGATATCCCTTGGAGCCATGGATGGCAGGACCAGGCCTCAGGAGCGGGGCCTGGCGTCTCCCCAGCACCTTGTCCCTGGTTTTGGGGACACTCTGTGACTTCAGTGGTGTTGAGGAATGATTCCCATCCTCACACGGGGTGCCTGACCTTCCTGTGTCACTGGAATGGGCTTATTGGCCTTCCTGGTGGAATTCTGCTGGAGCCTGGAATGTAATTTGTGCAGCTTTGTGAGGGCTGAAGTGGGAGCTTCCACCACCTGGGCCTCAGGGTGCTTTGCAAATTTCCAATATTTGAGCAGTTTTCTTGAGCTGAATGAAGGTGCTTCATTAATGTTAAGCAGAATTTTCTTCCTTGGCCTCTTGGTTTTGTTTTCTTTTTGTCCTTTGGGGCTTTGGGATTTGATTTTTTGGAACTCCTGTCAGCAGCACACCATAAATGTGTTTGACTGTCACAGCCTTACGCTCTAGCCCTGAATCCTTGTGCCCTTCCTAGACAGGAATAGATGATGGAGGAGAGAGAAACGTGGTGATTTGGTGGTGAGGTTGCTGTTCTCCATCCCCTGCCAGCCTGTCCCTATTCCCAGCTCCTTCCTGCTCAACAGGGATCACTTGAAAGTTGTTGAGATTTGCATGGAGTAATTAAATATTTGCCTCAAACTCTGTGCAGAGTCAAATTCTGCACTTCAGAGGTGTTGGAGCAAGGTGGGGACACACCCAGCTGGGGTTTGGAGCTGCTCTGCTCCAAACTGGGAAGTCAGGGAGGGGGGAAAAGTCAGGAGAAAGGAGGGAAGGATCCTGAGGGAATCCCAGCTCTGCACTCAGATCATGTGAAGTGTCTTAAAAGCTGGACCTGTGTAAGCAGCAATCAGCCCCTGACCAGCACAACGTTGCCTCCTGACCTCGTTCAGAACCTGCCCCTGCAGGGTTTGATTTGGAATTGTTGCTTTTTTGGAATTCTTGCTGCAGAGTGTGTGTGAATGAATCCTGGGGAGCACATGGTGAGGGAATGTCAGTGAGGGGGGGAGCAAGAGCTGAAAGATTGTGACTGAAGGGATAAATTCTCCTTTCTGAGCCCTGGTGGGCACCAAAGGGGAGCCCCTGCACCCTAAAATCTGTCACCAGAGACAGGGGGGCTTCTTAAAGCATTTCCTGCATTAATTCCAGCGAATCACTTTGTGGTTGTGACAGATGAAGCAACAAAGAGAAACATCCTTTGGTTGAGGGGAGATCAGGGAATGTGGCATCCAGGAACCCCCAGTTTTAGGGAATTCAGCTGGGAACAGGGATGGGGAAGGGACCCCAGGGTTTTCTTGGAGAAGCCTTTGTCCCACAAGGGATAATTCACCCCAACTCCCAATGCCTGATGCCAGTGTGAATTTGCTGCAGACTTCATTTACTGAATGTTTTAGAGAAATACACTTTAATTTCAGCTAACTCCTGTTAGGCCTGATTGGTTCTATTAATCCTGACCAAACTTGCCTTTTTTTCCTCCTGAAAGATGTTTTTGAGACACGATTAACCAGGACACAGCTAACAAAGTTACCCAACCTGTTCCCTTTTTTCATTGTTGGGCTGAGGAAATTCGCAGCTGGGACTAAGATTTGTTGTCAGGGTTTGGTTTTCTACCCATAACTCCATTATTGCAAATTAATTGTTCATTTCTCCCTTTTCAATAGTGAAAGGTAATGAATAATTTTGTTTATTTATGACATTACTGTGATTTTTTTTTTTTATTGCAGTACTAAAGACTAATGAAAAAGGATCTTATTAGGTGGAATAGGCCTTGCATTTATTTTTTTTTTTCCTGCAATGTATGAAGTATTGTACCAGAGTATTAAATGAAATGTAATATTTTATTGCAAAATTTCTATCCTTTAAAAGGAATACATTTAGGATGTCATCAATTTGATGTGAATCATGTAAATGTTGAGAAATGAGCTGTTTATTCTACATCTGGTGTTTCAAAAAGATTTCACCTCTTGCCTTTTGCCCACAGTCTGTAGCCCATTTACAGCTGTCAAAATGTGACATTAAATAATAGTTCCTGTATAGAAATAGTGGTGGTTGTCCATTGTTTTCTGGGTTGGTATTTATGGGGTTTAATTCAGTTGCAGTGGGTTTGTTGTTTTGGGTTTTTTTTGGTTTTTTTTTTTTATTGATGCCAAGCTGTGTTTTCAGGAATGAACCATGTCTGTAAACAGCAGAAATTCCATTAAAAAAAAAAAAAAAGGAAAAAAGGGAAAGAAGAAATTCAAAATAGGAAAAAAGAAAAAAAAAGAAAAAGAAATAAAAATCATTTTCTTACCACGGTTTGTTGGTCCCTGTGTTCTCCAGCTGCAGGCACCAAGGATGGGATGTTGGGAACAAATTCTTCCCAGGGAGGGACTGGGACAGAATTCTCATAGGAGCTGTGTCTGACCCATCCCTGGAAGAGCCCAAGGACAGGTTGGACAGGGCTGGGAGCGCTGGAACAGTGCCAGGGGCTGGAGCTGGATGATCCTTGAAGATCCAACCCAAAACCATTCCAAGATTCTGTGAGGAAGGAAGGAGGGAAGGAAGGATGGACAATCCTGTTCTTTCTCTCTCCACATCCTGCTCTCCTGGGATGAGGGAGAGGAGCTGTTGTTCCCTCTCCTGCTGCTCCTTCATTCCAGCTTCCAACCCTTTCCTCTGTTTGTTTTTGGGGCTCTGCTGTTTCCGAGGTCCAGCCCAGTGCAGGGACTCCAAGGGGGGATCGGAGCTGGATTCTATCCCAGGCTCCTCCTGCCACACTTCCAAAGCTCTCAGCATTCCTGACTCCCTCAAACTTGGAGAGCCAGGCTCTTCCCAAGATGTCACTTTCCCTGGGCCAGAGCAGAGGAGCAAATGCCTGCCCTGAGGTTTTCCATATCTTAGCTCCACCAACACTGGTTTTTCTGCTTTTCCCTTCTCAAATCCATTGGGAATGTTCCCACTCGGGATATCCTTGGTGGTGTTGATCCCAGAACTCAGCCTGCATGAAGGGGTTTGAGTTCCAGGGAGATCCCACCGAGTGCTGCCTCTCCCCCATCCCGCTTTCGGGGCGATAAAAACGGAACCGGAACTTTCCAGGGAATAAATCAGCTCAGCCTGAGCAGCGCTGGCTGAACAGCAGTGGAATCTGGAGTAAAACAAGCTTTAATCTCACGGCAAAGGCACATCCCAGGGATAATCCAGGGAAATGGCAGGAAGGAGGCAGAGCCCGGGGTCGGCAGCGGGATCCAAACGAGGCCAGGAGCTCTGTGGAGCAGCAGCCTGGCTCTAAGGCGATTATCCCACAGAGGAAGATTGATTTATTTGTTTTTACCAGCACATCCAACAGTTTGCATCCATCTCTGGGAGTTTTTATAATCCCTGCCAGGGCTGGGGAGGGAGGGGGGAAAAAAAGGGAAGGAGAGGAGGGAGGGTCTGTTCCAATCTGAGAACTTGGACAAAGATTGAAAGTGATGGTGCTGGGGGTGACACTTGGTGTCTCCTGCCTTTGACTCCTGCTTGTGGTGACACTTCCAGCCCCTCCTGCTGCTCCCAGCTCTCCGTGTCTCCCAC